AAAGCCCAGTGAAGCCAGTGAGTCTTTTCGTTTATTCAAATTGGCTTTGGGTCAGGATCTCAGATAATTAATTCTCTATGTACAGTGAGAAACAGTATACATCCACTTTGATACAAAAACATGTTTTCTGACTATTTCAGGCATTAAAATCACATTCTCCTTGTTAACTAATTTACAATTACCATGACTAGGAATTTGAAGGAGGCCTAATTGCGTTATGCGCCTGATTGCCATTGATATTAATAGAGATTGGACACTAGACTACCCTCAGGCCACACTGAAAATCCCACCTCAGATTTTGACCCACACAGGATATTGTTCCTTTTTCTTATACAACTGAATAATCATGTTGCCGTAAGCATTGCTTAAGTAAGACTAGTATATCAATAATCCCAGCAATATATGAATATATGCAGATTATTTGGTTTTGGCCAAATGAACTCAACACTCTCAATAATATTGCAGGTGTCTGGTAAAATAGGGAATCGTTAGATAACTGTGCACAGAAGCTCATTGGAAAATGGCTATTGTGAATGTTAGAGATGGAAAAGGCTACATTTAAAAAATTACATTTAAAGGTTTATTCCAAAACCTACTCAAATCAATGGAAAGACTCACATTCCTTTAGTGGATTTTGGATCAGGGATACAGTGCACAGAGAGTATACATCAGATATTTATCATTTAACCTTAGCCAAAAAACACCTGATCTTTGAGCAAGTACTGGGTAATTCTTTAGGGACACTCATTTCTAATGACCTGAGTAAAAAACTAGATAAATTATGAAACAGAAAAAAAAATGCTTTCTTTTTTTTTTTACTAGCACATTTCCATTTCTGGAAAATTGTTATTTCTGGTCACTGTAGGTACCTAATACCCTCAGGCATGATGATACAATACCCAGGATGTTTATTTAAGCAAACAGTAATCCTCTACTGTACAAATGCTAGAACAACACAGACTTTACATTGATTTTTATAAATACTTTGAATCAGATAATTTTTGCAGAAAACAATACACATTTTAGAAGTGTTTCTCATAGTTCTACCTACCCTCCATACTTGCCTGGAGTGTTTAATAGAAGGGTTAATATTAATATTTTTTGTACATTTAAAAAAATCTGAATGGTAATCATCATAAAACTTTATTAAGACTTTGGGAATAGCTCATATAAACAATATATATGATGATCTTAAAATACATGTATCTATAAAGCAGTGCACTGATAAAAGATTCGGCATTTCGTGGGGCTTCAGCAGAGTATAATACTCAAGAAGCAAGTCTGAAAAACATTATTAGAAAGGCATCTTCATAAAATGTAATTTTTGTTCCATTAAAAAATACCCAGGCATAGTATTAGTGTGGGTAATGGATTACCATGATAAATAGGATTTTTTTCTTTAAAAAGATACAAAGCTTTCACATTTTGCAAACTATAAAACCCTTTTTAAAATTCAGAAGATTCTATTCTTTGTTGGCATGGTTTTAATTAAAAGCTTAAAATGGAAATATTCCATTTTGAAAAGAGCCAGTACTATTTCCCATTTTTCTATAATGGGGAAAAATAAAATTCCTGCTTATTCATGGCTAATTACTTTTGTAATAAAATGCTATTTAAATATATGATGCAGTATACTGCATGGGAGAAACCCCCTCCCACCACACTTAATTACCAGTACTATAAGATGATCTTCACAAGTCTGCTCTTGGGCTAGTGCAGTGCTCCTTGCTAATTTACCATTTCTGTTTTTAGCATGCAACTCATAAACAGGAATCCTGTGCTTTTAGAAGATGACCTATAGGAATGGGAGCAGTGCCAGCATTACCTGTGTTTCTAGCATGCATTAACCGTGGAGAGTTTTGTAAGGCCTTATCAACATCATCTGAAGTCAAATGTGGAAGAGGAGCTACAAAACAAAACAAAAAGCAACACCAAAATGAAAAAAAAACTGAGAATTATCTTTTAAAACCATTTCCCCTGATAGGACTATTTTTATAAGTGTCTACTACCAAACGGTTTAGTTCTGTTGTTGGCAGGGCAGGTGTGAATGTTAAACTTAAACAAGGGTATTCATTTAATTAATATTATTCATACATATGTATGACTGATTGTCAGTGTGAGTGTGGAGAAGACTGCACCACACTGGTGTTGCAATGCTTGGTTTTTTGTTTTTTTTAAAACCATACTTGCCTATTTTGTGTTTTTAATGATACAGATTTGCAAAATATTCTCATGTGAGGCCTTAAACATTTAAATTGGTTGCCCTTAGAATATTAGCCATGGGCTACACATCCTTTGGCTCCATTTGAGGGGGCTCTTCTTCATGGAGATACATAATCTCCTACTAGGCTCAATGTGAGTTACATGCACCTATAGAAAGTAGAACAGATGCCTACATGTTCAAAGAATCATGCCTGGAATTATCCTTTATAAATCAATGTTTTCACTCTCATTTAATGTCCTCATATGTACAATAGAAAGGAAAGAGCATGTGACCAGAAAAAACATTATCATCAAATCCCACTTTATTTTCTTCCTATACTATGCAGATGAATATGCTGGGGTTCAAATTGATCTTTGTCTCAGACATTTTGAGACATTTCTAATCTCGTTTCTATAAGTAATCACAACAAGCCTGACCAAAAGCCCACTGCAGTCAATGGAATCTTTCCATCAACCTCAACAGGGTTTGGACTAAGCCTTACAGAACATTGTCACAAGCAGTGACACTTGAGGTAGAGACCTTTGGCATTTCAAATTCAAAGGCATTACTACTGAAAAGGTTGAGAGGTTTGTTCCAACCATTACTGCAAAGTGAGAAAATTTTCTTACTCTCTCTGAGGTAGTGTAGGTGTGAGAGGAGGATATCTGCATTATAGCTGGGGGTGAGTCTCTGGAAGTCATCTTTGGTCATTTTGCATAGCTCCTTCCCATCGATGTTCTGGAACAACAAGATGTCAACGTCTGGAAGACCATATTCCTTCACAGCCCATTCCAACCACTGACGCACGTGGTCTGTGCTCCACAGTGTAGGATCTGATGGTTTTACAAACATACTGTTATCAATTTTTATCTGATGTGGTAGACCAATAGCAAATTACTATACACTGGGTGCATCTACACGTGCAATTCAAAGCAATAAACTCTGTTTACCAATGCATATCATTTACATGTACATATCATTTACACTTGTGCCTGGAACCACAGCACATTGAGCTGGGTCAGAGCAGTACCGGGTGGCAGCAGGCCTGTAGGGTCAGCCAGCCCGCCTGGGGTGCTCTGACTAAGCTCAACGTTCTATGGAGGGGCTGGCTGGAGCATAAGGGTGCTCCAGTGTGCGCCTAGCTGG